GCACTGAGAGTCTCTGTTTTGAAAACAGAAAAATATAAGAGCCTAGGTGTATATAGAAGAAGTATGGTGTGACAGCAAAGTATATCAACTCTGGAGCCAAAATGTCTGAATACAATGGTTAGCTCTGCTACTTTCTTGGGCAAGTTACTTTAGCCTCTTTGTGCTTAGTTTCCTCTTTTTAAAACAGAAATAATAGTACCATCTATCTCATAAAACTACTGTGAGGATTAATGAGTTAATTCATGTAAAATATTTAAAAGAGTGTGTGACACACAGTATGCAACGTAGTTAGCTATTGTTAGTGTTGTTTTTATTTGACACCATTAGGGAAGAAGGGCCAGTGTGGTGGTACCAAAGAGGGCAGGAAGGTATAAAGGTTGTGGTTAAGGCAAGATCTGCCACCAAGACATACTGGTTAGCAGTGGGATTTGTTTGAACAGTTTCCAGCCACACTTATTCTAGGGATTTCTCTGTACTCTAGCAAGTAGGCCACCTTCAGGACTTCTTGTCACAGCATTCTATTTCCTTATGAGCACTCATCATTATTGATAAGTCACCATTTTACTCCTTTTGTTTGTCTTGTTTCTTTGATTACTTCTCTTGAGAAAGGGATTTTGTTTTATTTAAAAACAGGGAACATATTGAATGCTTACTAAGTGCCAGGCACTATTCTGAGCATTATATTACCTTACATGCTTTAACTCATTTAATCCTCACAATAATCTTGTGAGATAGATGGTGTCATTATTGTCACCTTACTCATGATGACTCTGAGCAGCACAAAGTAATTTGCCCGTGATCTTGCAACTAGTGAGACTCAATAAATTTTCTTTGAATGAATGAATAAATGAACAAATGAAAGAATGCATGAATAGGGGAGCAAGAACTGTGGAAGGTATCGTGTGAGGTTCTGGAAGAAAGGGAAGGAAGAGAAAAATCACATCAGCTGTAATATCAGGCTTATCAGTAGGTTCCTTCCTCTGACTTCTCCTTTCTTCCTCCCACCTGACTGACCCCTAGGTTCAGGCCATTGCTGCCCAGTTGGTGTCAGCCCTATATTATCTGCATTCCCACCGCATCCTCCACCGAGACATGAAGCCCCAGAACATTCTTCTTGCCAAGGGTGGTGGCATCAAGCTCTGTGACTTTGGGTGAGGACCCTGGCCTCCCATCTCTGCTTCCAGTTCTGCAGGGTGTCTTAGAGCATATGCTTGGCTTACTTGGGCCTCATTTTAGAACCTGAGCTGGAGACTGGGACTCCTACTGAGTCTTTCAGAAGGTGCTCTCTCTGTCCAGGTTTGGGATGGCTCAGATAATCAGAGGGAGTAGTGACCAGATCTAGTTTTTATTGACTATCTTCTCTCTTTCCATTTTAATTCCATCATGTGCAGATTTGCCCGGGCTATGAGCACCAACACAATGGTGCTGACATCCATCAAAGGCACACCACTCTATATGTCTCCGGAGCTGGTGGAAGAGCGACCATACGACCACACTGCAGACCTCTGGTCTGTGGGCTGCATACTGTATGAGCTGGCTGTGGGCACCCCTCCCTTCTATACCACGAGCATCTTTCAGCTGGTCAACCTCATTCTCAAGGACCCTGTGCGCTGGCCCCCCACCATCAGTCCTTGCTTCAAGGTAATGAATACAGACAGGGAGATTACTTTTGGGTCAGAAACCTGTCTCCCTCTGCTTCTGTTCCTTTTTCCAAAATCTGTTTCCAGAGCTAGGGCAAGTTAGTGAATGAATGCCAAAGCTGGGCCAAGCTGTCTTGCTTTTATAATGCAGGGGTGTATTCTGAGAGGGTGTTCTAAGGTCTACCAAACTTGGGAATAGCAGCCTCTCCTTGGGCCAGACTATCCTGTATCACAATGGGAATACGATTTCAAGACATCAGAGACAGATACTGGTCATTTTATATACCCTCTATTCCACTTATTTCCTATCAGATGCAATGTCCAGCTGATATCTGGCTTTGCCAACGCAGCTTTCATTTCTCTTCCTGAAAGAAGGAATCTTCAGATATCTAAATGGCCAGAGCTTAGTGGGGCTAGCTCTGTGATTAGGAGTTGATGATAGAGGTGGTGCCTGCTCCTTTCAGCAGGCTGCAGGAGGGAAGGAGGGAAGAAAAAGAGTTGACTCTTTTTATTTCTTATCTGGGGCAAGATTTGGCTTTCAGTGGGATTTAAATGTAACCTTCTGCCAGGGTGAAATCTCATTATAACTTTGCTTTATCTAAGATATAAAGGGACAGGTTTCTCCCCAACCTTTTTAGCTGGGGAGGCCCAAGTAGTTACTAAAAAGAATCTAAACAATAAAACTTCAGTTGGTGCTATACATAAGATATTCATTTTCCCTTAGGGCAGATATGCAGCCATCTTCAGCTAGAGCCATAGTATACTTAATCACCTTGTTTTAGAACAGTGGTCATAATCTAGTACCTTCTATTCCTGTTTCAGGCCCAATTGAGGATTTTCCCAAGGATACCTCATAACAGTGTAGAGACAGTCTCCCTACCCCTCTACCATCTGAAGACTTGCTGAAAGATTTCTGGTTTGAGGGCTCCCAAACACATCTTTACACAATGACATGTGTGTGTGAGTGTGCTTTTAACTGTAAATGCATTTGTTCGTACCCAGCTGTAAACAAACTGCAGTCAAAGAGAGGGCAAAGTGAGCAATGTGGGGCTCCTTTGAATGTTTGCTTTCTGAAGATGATTGTGAAGGTGACATCCCTCTCTTCTAGTTTTCTCCTCACTTCTTCACAAAGCTAGTGACATTGAGATTTGTGCCTATGGACTGGAATCGGGGCTCCCCAGGAGATGAGGCAGTGAGTTCTGTCCATGATTTCAGCCAATGAAGTAAGGCCTAAGGATAGGGTGAGAGAGGGTGCTGTAAGATTGGACTCCGGAGTTTCGGTTTGCAGGTTCTGCTGGTGAGTTAGAGCTTATAGAGACGTGAAGGCTGTTGGGGTATTTTTTTCTCTCCACAGAACTTCCTGCAGGGACTGCTGACCAAGGACCCTCGGCAGCGCCTGACCTGGCCAGACCTTTTACATCACCCTTTTATTGCTGGTCGTGTCACAAGTGAGTCATAAGGGTTCCCAGGGCTTTTTCTAGTATTCTCTCCAATCTACCCTCCTTCTCCCAATCTGGATTCAACATATCTTCTTTAACCTACCAGTATGAACTTTCTTCCTAGCCCTTTGCCTAATCTTTGCCACCTCCCTTGCAAGCCCCCTCCCCCTTTGTCACTTTGTCAAAATGGTCGCCTTCTACAAAAGCCGGAGACACCGAAGTTGTCTGTGCCAAGTGACATGGCACAGCTCCAGTATGATCTTGTCTTTTTCCTCTTCCCTCCCTGCAGTAATAACTGAACCAGCAGGTCCAGATTTGGGCACCCCATTCACCAGTCGCCTGCCCCCAGAACTTCAGGTCCTAAAAGACCAACAGGCACATCAGCTGGCCCCCAAGGGCAATCGATCTCGCATCTTGCGTCAAGCCTGTAAGCGCATGGCTGAGGAGGCCAAGAAGAAGGTGTGTAGGAATATTGGGGAATATGTGACATGACCAGGCTGGTGACTGGGGTTGTTGGAGAAGGAGGGTGACTTTCTAGGGTTGGGAAAGGGCCACAAACAGGATTTATACTGCCCTATGGCAATCAAATAGTTCTGATTCAGTGTCTCTTGTCCACTTCCCATAGAAACACCAGAATACAGGACCTGCCCTTGAGCAAGAAGACAGGACCAGCAAGGTAGCTTCTGGCACGGCCCCTCTGCCCAGGCTATGGAACACTCCTCAGGAACCAGGTCTCTTGGCTGGGATCATGGCCTCAGAAACGAAGAGCAGCTGGGCTGAGTGGGGGGCTGGAGAAGCCCCCCCTATACCTCGGTGAGGAGGGTATAGCCAGGGATTTATAGGGTGAGGTATCTTGTGTATCTTTGGCTCTAGCCAAAGCAAACATAGCATGATCCCTGTCACTTGTTCTTCATTCCTATCCTGGGTCAAGAGGGAGGGACAAGTTAATGACTGGCTTTATGACATTTCCAAGCCTCATAGATCTAGAACTTATCCTACTCCTTGCTTCCTCTGGCAGAGAAAACCGGGTCACCCAGGATTGTGAACGAGCATTCCCAGAGCTGAGGCCAGAGGCTGCGGGCCAGCGGAGCATTGACGCAGTGGACCTAGAAAACGAGGTGCGTCCAGGGACTCTTCTCAGCCTTCTCCCTGCCATGGGTTGTTGGGTCTGGGTAGATGTTTTTCTAGAACAGTGATTCCCAGCCCTCCAGGTATGAGCTGCCTGCGTTAAAAATTGCTTCCTTACTAATTATAGATTTTAATTGCACAGTTGTCTGAACATGTAATTATCAAAAAATTAGAATACATAGGGAAAAAATACGTAGGCCCCAGAGGTGTCTGCTGTTATTAGTTTTGTCTGTCTTTTGCAAACTTTTTGTACTTTTACATATGTGTGTGTATATCTACACATAGAAATATAGTTTGACTGTTTTTACATTACTGAGTTCATACCATATGTATTGTTTTACATCATGTCTATCTTATCATGTGATCTGTTTTAGAGCTCTTTTTACATCTGAACATGTTCTACCCCAATCTTTTGTGTTTTTTAGGGTTTTAATTTTATTTTGAAATAATTTCAAACCTAAAGAATAATTTTGAGAATACCACAAAGAATTCCTGTACACCCTTTCACCCAGATTCACCAATTATTAAAATCTGCCTCATTTGCTTTATGATTCTCTCTCTATAATATGGACATACCAACTTTAATTTTATTTTGAAATAATTTCAAACCTAAAGAATAATTTTGAGAATACCACAAAGAATTCCTGACACCCTTTCACCCAGATTCACCAATTATTAAAATCTGCCTCATTTGCTTTATGATTCTCTCTCTATAATATGGACATACCAACTTTTTGAATTATTTCAGGTTACGTTGCAGACACGCCCCTTTTCCCCTAAATATTTTAGTGCATATTTTCTATGAACAAGGTCATTTGCTTCCTCTACCACAGTACAGTTACGGAAGTCAGAAATTTAACGTTGATGTATTCCGTTATTTAACCTACAGTCCAGATTTAAATTTTGCCTGTTGCTCCAGTACTGTTCTTTATAGCAAAATTTTTTCCTGGTCCGTGATCCAATCCAGTGTTAGGTATTGCATTTATCTGTTTTACCTCTTTAGTCACCTTTCATCTGGAACAGTTCCTAATCTTTCTTTATCTTTCATAACTGACAGTTTCGAGGTACACACGCCAGCTATTTTGTAGAACGTTCTTCAAATTGAAATTTCTTTATGCATTTTTGGTAGGAATACTACATATACATAAGTGATGCATCCTCAGTACTACAATCTTCTTAACTTCATAGTATTTCTTAATATGGATATACCATGATTTTTATTTTTAACTCCCTTGCTGACTGGCTTTATGACATTTCCAGTTTTTTAAATTACAAATCATGCTGCAATGGACATCTTTTTTGGTATCTCTTTATGCACACATGTCAGTGTTCTCCAAGAGACTTTTCAAGACCCCTCACTATAGCTTTTTACTGGTGTCTGAAAAACTAACATCTGCGTCAGAGGAGTCACTGCTTCTTGCAGTTACTCCGTGATCCCCCATGCTGGGAGCTACTACCCTCAACCTTACACATTCCTCCTGACCTGTTTCACTCCCCTGTGCCTCAGGAGCCAGACAGTGACGACGAGTGGCAACACCTGCTAGAGACCACCGAACCTGTGCCCATCCAGCTGAAGGCCCCTCTCACCCTACTGTGCAATCCTGACTTCTGCCAGCGCATCCAGAGTCAGCTGCATGAGGCTGGAGCGCAGGTGATGGGCAGAAGGATACTGTGGAGAGAATTTGAGACTCTTTTCACAGATGAGGCATTAAAAAACAGTGATTGACATAAGGAGAAAGAGAAAGTTTGTTCCTTCACAATTCTATTTCAGTCTATCTGCTCAATTCAAGGAGATTTGCTAACCTCCTTTAGTAACACAGAAAGAACAGGCCTTGTATCTCTCTGAAGGGAAAAATCTCCTTCTAGAGCAGGAGTCAGCAAATTTCTGATGGTAAATATTTTAGGCATTGTGGGCTATGAGGCAAAAATGGAGGACATTATGTAAGTACTTCTACAATGAGAGGAAACAAGTTTCTACAAAATTTTTATTGTCTACGGCCATGCCACCCTGAACACACCTGATCTCATCTGATCTCGGAAGCTAAACAAGGTCAGGCCTGGTTAGTATTTGGATGGGAGACCACCTAGGAATAATACTAGGTGCTGTAGGCTTTAAAAAAAATTTGTCGACAAAATGAAAAATATAGATGTAACTAGTATATAATGTCTTCCGGTATAGGTATACTAATGAGAAGAATGAGATTCTTTTTTAGGAAGTAACATTTTGCTTAATTAACATTCATAGTTAGTGTTCCCTGTTACAAAGTCTTTCCTTGCTTCTCTGAAACACAGTGATCTTCCTTCCTGGGAACTCACTGAAATACATCGCCTGCATCTCTTCCCCTTTCTTTAAAGTCTTTTTTAATGATGTTTAGTAAATGTACCAAGAAGTGAAACTATCACCATAATCCAGTTTTAGAACATTTTCATCGCCCCAATAAGTTCCCTCGTACCCATTTACAGTTAATAATCCTTCCTCCCCCAGTCCCAGGGAACCATTAATCTACTTTCTGTCTCATAGATTTGCCTTTTCCGGACATTCTGCATACATGAGATCATAGAGTATACAGTGTTCATGTCTGGCTCCTTTCTCAGTGTAATGTTTTTGAGGTTCATTCATGCCATAGCATGTATCAACAATCCATTCCCTTTTATTGCTGGTTAGTACTTCATTAGATGGATATAGATCACATTTTGTTTATCCATTCACCAGTCGGTGGCCATTGGGGCTGTTTCCACTTTTTGGCTTTTATGGATAATGCTGCCGTGAACAGTCACATGGAAGTCTGTGTGGACATATGCTTTCATTTCTCTTGGAGTGGAAGAGAGGTACTTAGGTACCTAGGAGTGGAATTGCTGGGTCATGTGGAACATTTATATTTAACATTTTAAGAAGCTGCTGAATCATTTTCCAAAGTGATTGCACCATTTTGCATTCCCACCAGCAATGTACGCGAGTCCCCATTTCTCCACATCCTTGCCAACATGTATGATTGTCTCTTTGATTATAGCCATTCTAGTGAGTGTGAAATAGCATATAATGTCATTTTAATTTTCATTTTGTTAATGATTAATGTCAAGCGTCGTTTCTTGTTATTAGCCGTTTGTATATCTTCTTTGATGAAATATCCAGTTCTTTTGCTCATTTTTAAATTGGGTTGTCCTCTTATTGAGTTGTGTTCTTTGTATATTCTGGATACAGACCTTTTTTAAGATATGTAATGTACAAATATTTTCTCATAGTCTATGCTTTATCTTTTTATTCTCATAAGAGTATCTTTTGAAGCACAGGTGTTTTGAATTTTGATGAAGTCCAGTTACAGTTTTTCCCTTTGTAGATTACACTTTCGGTGTTGTATCTAAGAAATATTTTCCAAACGTAAAATCTTAAAGATTTTCTCCTATGTTTTTTTCTAAAAGTTTTCTAGTTTTAGCTCCGACATTTAGGTCTCTGACCCATTTTGAGTTCATTTTTGTCTACAATGCGAGGTATACAGTGTGAGGGATCTTACATTCAACTTTTGCATGTGGATGTACAGTCGTCTCAGCACCATTTGTTGAGAAGACTCTTCTTTCCCTGGTGAATTGCTCTGGCACCTTGCACCTCTCTTTTTTCCTAATACATTGTCCTCCTAGTGTTGGGCAGCTTTTCAGTAGGGAAGCAGGTTAAAAGCTCTGTTTCCAGGGTAAGACTTCCTGAGTTGGAATTCTGTCTGAACTACTCTTTAGCCGTGTGATTATTAACTACTAACCTATCTAAAAGCTTTGGTCTCCTCACCCGTAAAATAGTAATTGTATTTACTTCAAAGGATTATTGTAAAGATTAAATGAGCAAATAAGTGAAAAGGTTTATAACAGTGAATAGCATACTGTAAAGCACTTGATATAAATGTTATTCTTCTCTAAAAGAATAACCTTTTAAAGAATAACTTTAAAAATATAGTCCTTGGCTTGCAGGCTGGTATAAAAATAAGTGGTAGGCTAGATTTAGCCTGTGGTTCATAGTTTGTCAACCCCTCATCTAGTGTTGAATAACATCATTTTGTGTCTGTTAGTTTTTATTTTCGGAAGTGCGTGCATGAGTGTGTGTGAGTGTGCGTGTTTGTTTTGTTTTTAAGATGAAAGGATGGAGAAGGGAGAGAGCAGATGAGAATAGCATTGGGTCTGCCAGAGAGATCCTGAGGGGCGGTCCCTTCCCCCTTGTTCACTGCTGTTAACAGTCATGTGATCTGAACATCTGTATTTTTCCCTGGTACAGTTTCCCTATTTCCTTTTTCTCCTCTGGGCTTTGGACTCCCAAAGAAAGGAATGAGAACATCTGGTCCGATTGCCAACTCCTTGGGAACACTTGGTATCTATGACTCTACTTTTACCTCTGATAATATCAATTACTATCTC